CTCTTTTTCCTGTCTTCCATGCTTGCTCCATAGGTGGCTCAGTGGTAGAGCACTTGCCTACCAAGCAACAAGGCTCCCGGTTCAATCCCCGACCTCTCCAGGTAGGGCTGAGACCCTGGAGAGCTGAAGCCTGCTTGTGTAGACGATACTAATCAATTTGTATATATTTATAATAATAACAACAATTTATTATTTATACCCCGCCCATCTGGCTGAGTTTCCCCAGCCACTCTGGGGGATTCCCAATTGAGTGTTAAAAACAATACACCATTAAATATTAAAAACTTCCCTAAGCAGTGCTGCCTTCAGATGTCTCTTAAAAATAAGATAGCTGCTTATTTCCTTGACATCTGATGGGAGGGCGTTCCACAGGGCGGGAGCCACTACCGAGAAGGCTCTCTGCCTGGTTCCCTGTAACCTCACTTCTCGCAATGAAGGAACCACCAGAAGGCCCTCGGTGCTGGACCTCAATGTCCAGGCTGAATGATGGGGGTGGAGACGCTCCTTCCTGCCTTCCACGCTTGCCCTCTAGCAGGTGGCTCAGTGGTAGAGCACTTGCCTACCATGCAACAAGGCTCCAGGTTCAATCCCCAACCTCTCCAGGTCGGGCTGAGACCCTGGAGAGCTGAAGCCTGCTTGTGTAGGCGATACTAATCAATTTGTATATATTTATACACAGTACAGTCATACCTCGGGTTACATACACTTCATGTTACAGACTCCGCTAACCCAAAAATAGTGCTTCAGGTTAAGAACTTTGCTTCAGGATGAGAACAGAAATCGCACAGTGGCGGCGCAGCGGCAGCGGGAGGCCCCATTAGCTAAAGTGGTGCTTCAGGTTAAGAACAGTTTCAGGTTAAGTATGGACCTCCAGAACGAATTAAGTACTTAACCCGAGGTACCACTGTATTTATAGTCCGCTCTTCATTGAGTGTTTCCAGTCCTAGAGCTGGGAACCAAGTCATAAAAACAAAGAGTGAAAAGCGACACACCAAATTACAAAATCATATAAACAGGTTCAACCAAAACAACTTGACCCTTCCACCACCTAGGTGGACCAGTGACCTGACTCAGTGTAAGGAGTCTTCCTAAGCTCCCACAGCCAGCCTTCTGTACCCATCAAATGCTCAAAACTCCGTAACATGGCTCAGTTTGGGATCCCTCCCCTCCTCAAAATGTATTTTTCATGCTTCTGTAGGCTTTGGGGGTTCTCTGAAGCCATGCTGACAATCTCCCTCATGTGCACAGATGGTACCATCTTGGCTACATCATCATAGAATCATAGAATTGTAGAGTTGGAAGGGACCCAAAGGGTCTAGTCCAACCCCCTACCTCCATCCTAGGAGAATGAGTCCCTCTCTGAGGTCATGATGGGATCTAGCCTTTGCAAAACAGCACTGAGGGGCATTTTCCCTCTTCCTTTGCGGTGAATGTAGGTCCTGCGGAGGACACTGACCATAGAGGAGTCAAGGACCTATTTCTACTGGCACCTGGTGAAGACTCCTAAGTTGAGGAAGACCACCTTGTGTTCTGTTGTCGTATGGTATGAACATAAACAGATGACTGCCGCTTATTTCCCGACTTTGAAAGAGATGGAGCCAGTTTTCTTTCTTGGAAGGCGTTGCAGTTAATTGTGGTGGGAATTAAGCTGCAGAGTAACATTATCTTTAGACAGGCCTTTCCTATGTTGGTTTGTTTTTTTAAGTCAGATTAGATGTTTATTGTCTTCCTGGGCGATTGTGCAATATTTTACATCAAAGGAGGAATGCAAGCCATCGTATTGCTTTGCTTTCTCCGGTATCAACCTATATTTTTTCAAATGCTAGTTTGCGGTGATTTATGAAACTCCCACCACAAATGGAGCACGGTTCCTTCAGATGCCATCTCACTTTGTAACGCTACCTCAACTGGGAATGAGTAATTTCCAAATGACTGTTGACATAGTTGGTGGCAGTGTGCAAGCCTGACTCTCTGGAACTTTACAGCCCAATGGACTGGTCTTTCCCCTGCACACACAAACACAAACCAACAAAACACACACACAACACCACCATACCTGAGCAGTGAGCCTGGAGAAACTAACAAGTTTTTGGACTGGAAGTTTATTGCGTGCATTTTCCACTGTTTGCAATTCCATTTCATTTGCGTAGCCCAGGTAGTATTACCCTCAAACAACATCAATTCCAGCCCTTCCCCTCCCCATAAAGTCGCATAAATCTGATAAATTAGGGGAAATTGGGCTCCAAACTGCTGCACTCGACTTATTTGTTTTGGTGTTTGGGGTCATTGCCCAAAGCAATAACCCAGCACTAGACAGGATTGCTAGTCCTGCTTAGCAATGGACAGATGCACAAGGGAACTCTGTGTACCTGAGCCCAGCACTAATCAGGGTCTCTCCCTCTCCTCTGCTCTCACACATTGACTGATGCCGAGGGAGAGCGACCCTGCTGAGTCCTGCAGGGAGTTCGTTCACACACTCAAACTGAGCAAGATTTGGACTGGTGGGCAGGGCACCCGTCAATCACGTGATGCCGTAATAGCATTCCCGCGATTGCCCTCATCCACCTGTCAACTTTGGCTTGCGAGGGTCTGATCCTGATATTCCTAGCTGCTGAACCTAAGTCCGTCTCTGTTTTCCTTGCAGGTTTGGTGTGGCGTTCACCTATTACGGCATCAGTCTAAACATCAGCGGTTTCAGCTTGATCCGTACGTGACACATTTATCTTTGGGGGCCATTGAGATCCCCTGCCAAAGTCAGTGTGTATGTTGTCTTGGACCGCATCGGCCGCAGGCATTGTCAGGCATGGACTCTGATTGGAACGGGAGGCATGATTGCTCTGAATGCAGCCATCCCTGCAGGTGAGAGGCTCATCTGGCCGGTTCTGCAGCATCACTGAGCATCCTCCTAGTCATTACGTGAGCTGCAGCAGCATCACTTGCCTCCCGGGGCTCCTCCAGAAGACATTGAGGAGCCATCCTTGATTTCTTTGCACAAAGATTAGGCGGAGGTTGTACTCTTTTTTTGCACATTCATCCCGGTTTAACACTGAGATCCAGTGCCGAGGGCCTTCTGGCAGTTCCCTCACTGCGAGAAGTGAGGATACAGGGAACCAGGCAGAGAGCCTTCTTGGTAGTGGCTCCCGCCCTGCGGAACACCTTCCCACCAGATGTCAAGGAAATAAGCAACTATCCTACAAGGCAGAGGGCCTTCTCGGTAGTGGCTTCCGCCCTGTGGAACGCCCTCCCATCAGATGTCAAGGCAATAAGCAACTATCCTACTTTTAAAAGACATCTGAAGGCAGCCCTGTTTAGGGAAGTTTTTAATGTTTAATGCTGTATCATGTTTTTGATATTCGATTGGGAGCCGCCCAGAGTGGCTGGGAAAACCCAGCCAGATGGGCAGGATACAAATAATAAATAATAATAATAATAATTAGTCTTCCCATTCATTTATCCTTATCCTACACCTTTCAGTACATTTCCCTAGCTACGAAAAGTCTTTTTTTAATTTAAAGGTGGATTCTGTTGCCAGAGCATCAGAGTGTTGCAAAAACCTACATTTCCAGTATGCCCTTAAATCTTCATGCCTCCTGTTTCTTCCTCCTTCAGAGCATGGGCATCTCCGGTCGGCGGTGGCCATTTTGGGCAAGGGTTTCTCAGAAGCCTCTTTCACCACTGTCTTCCTCTACACAGCTGAACTTTTCCCAACAGTGGTCAGGTAAGTGGCTTGGGCTCCAATCAGACCCACTGGTGGTTTTTAATTTTTTAACAAACTTTTTGATATCCAGTGACTTCCCTTCTTCTCTTTCCATGGTTCATTTTCTGTCTCTCCCATTCCTGCATTTCTAATACTATAACCATTCAAGTCAGTGTTGCATTTTTACACCATTCAAACATTAATTACGCTGTTGAATTTATGTTAATGCTGCCAGCATTTTCAGTTGCGTACAATTATTTCCCACATATTCAATAAATGTTTTCTGCTTCTCTTTTAAGTATATGTTCTTCTTGCTCTCTTATTCCATGTGTTAAATCTGCAAGTTTTGCATATTCTAACATCTTAAGTTGCCAATCCTCTTTTTCTGGGACCTCGCTCATTTTCCATTTTGGGGCTAATGAAACTCGGGCCGCTGTTTTTGCAAACATAAATAGGCTTTTCTGACACCTAGGAATTTCTCTCCGGGCTATTTCCAAGAAAAAGGACTCTGGTCTTTTGGGGAAAGTAATTTTAAACATTTTTTTCAACTCATTATAAATCATTCCCCAATATTCTTTTACCTTTTTATATGTCCACCACATATGAAAAAGGTCCCCTCCCTTTCTTTACATTTCCAACACATATCTGATTGTACTTTATACATCTTAGCCAACCTTCTCGGAGTTAGGTACCATCTATGAATCATTCCATAGTTTCAGTGTGTAACATGCAGTAAATTTCAAATCACTTTTCCAGAGTTTCTCCCAGTGGTTTAAATCTATAATGTGTCCTATATCCATTGTCCAGTGTGTCATTGAAGCTTTGACTAGCTCGTCTCTCCCCCTCCCCCATTCTAATAGAAGATTATACATTCTAGACAAAGGTTTATCCTTTTTTGTAATAGTTCTTTTTCAAATTGTGAGCTTTGGTCCAAAAACCCCTCTCTTTTTTTGTCTAACTTGAACATATCATGTACCTGATGATGATGTAATCTGTAACTTGGCTCCATAAGTTTTCCATAGGTTTCAGTCTGGATTCCCTCCTTGTAAATTCCAGCAATCCCTGTATGCCACCCATTGTCTATCCATATTAACTCTCTTAATTGAAATTGCTTCAATAGGGAATAACCATAAGGGTGTTTTTCTTTCTAGCAAATTTTTATATTTATCCCAAACTCTGTTCATAAAACTCTTATAAATTTTAGCTTCCCCATACCAAAGACATGCATGCCAGCCAAATTTAAAATCATGGCCTTCCAGGTCTGAAATATTTGCATTATCCAATACAATCCATTCTTTTAACCAACACAAACAAGCTGCCTCATTATACAGTTGCAGATCTGGCAGGGCAAAGCCTCCTTTCCCATTTATATCTATCAAAATTTTATGTTTAATTCTAGGCTTTCCTTCCTACCAGATAAATTTAGAAATACCCACCTTCCACATAAAGCAAAATCTTTGGGGGTTTCTTCTGAGGCTACATTTCCCAAATCTTCTTCAAAGGAACCAAATACAGACCCATGCTTGATTTGTGCTGGAATCCAAGGCTGTGACTAAAGGAGAAGCAAGATCTGTTGGGGTGTGAATGCTGTCAGCTCCTCCATCTTAGGCTCAGGTTGTCCATATGTGCAAATAAAGCCATATATCCTAAAGACATCACAGTCTCTACTAACCTTCATTCCAAGGAAACCAAACTCTGGGAAAGTGCCTGGAACCCCTTGAACCTCTCACTGCTCAGAGATTGGGATGGCGTGTAACAATTTGATGGATTTATCTCCAATCGAAATTGTTTTGCATTACCTTTGCAGGCAGAGTGGTGTTGGCTGCTGTTCATTCATAGCACGGTTGGCCAGCTCCATAGCTCCTCTGATCATGCTGCTAGATGACACCTGGAGATACCTTCCTCCCTTGATATTCAGTGTGGTGGCACTGGTGTCTGGGACGGTGGCCTTTCTGCTAACAGAGACAACCAACATCCAGTTGCCAGAGACAATCGAAGATGTGGAAGATGGCAGGTGAGTGACGTAGGCACACAAGGCACATCACTTGAATAAAGCTTTCCACTTTGAAAAGGGAAGCAATCAGATATCAGCTGGTTTCCCCCCCCCCAAAAAACTGGTTCCTCCAGACTGTCACATTTTGAGGGAGGGAGTCAAATATTTAGACTTGCACCATGACACTGGATTAAAGTCCTTTGCCATTTTAGCATAACAAGTTAACTTCAAAACAACAGCAGTGGCCTTTTTGCGATTTGGAAAGTAGCGCACTGGAAAAGGTGGGATGAAAGAAAGATTAATGGGAAGACATATAAACACAGTAGAAGCAAGTCAGGGTGGATGCTCATTGTTGCAAACAAACAAATCAGAACAAATACTCAACATAGATTGGACTATAACCTCCAATGAAGCTTTGTGCAAGCAAAGCTCAGTGATCAGGCCATCTGGTGTAGATCTAGGCTGCATCTATGCCGTATACTTAAAGCGCATTTCCTTGCTCAAAAAATCCTGGGAACTGTAGTTTATAGTCCTGTAAATTAGAGCTGTGTGCAAGATAAACTACAGCTCCCAAGTATCCCAGCTCCCATATCTGAAGAACTGTGCAAGCACACGAAAGCTTATACCAAGAACAAACTTAGTTGGTCTCTAAGGTGCTAGTGGACATTTTTTTTTATATACAGTGGTACCTCGGGTTACATACGCTTCAGGTTACAGACTCCGCTAACCCAGAAATAGTACCTCTGCTTAATAATAATAATAATTTATTATTTATACCCCGCCCATCTGGCTGAGTTTCCCCAGCCACTCTGGGCGGCTCCCAATCAGTGTTAAAAACAGTACAGCGTTACATATTAAAAACTTCCCTGAACAGGGCTGCCTTAAGATGTCTTCTGAATGTCAGGTAATTATTTATCTCTTTGACATCTGATGGGAGGGTGTTCCACAGGGCGGGCGCCACTACCGAGAAGGCCCTCTGTCTGGTTCCCTGTAGCCTCACTTCTTGCAATGAGGGAACCGCCAGAAGGCCCTCGGCGCTGGACCTCAGTGTCCGGGCTGAACGATGGGGGTGGAGACGCTCCTTCAGGTATACAGGACCGAGGCCGTTTAGGGCTTTAAAGGTCAGCACCAACACTTTGAATCGTGCTCGGAAACATACTGGGAGCCAATGCAGATCTCTCAGAACCGGTGTTATGTGGTCCCGGCGGCCACTCCCAGTCAGCAGTCTAGCTGCCGCATTCTGGATTAATTGCAGTTTCCGGGTCACCTTCAAAGGTAGCCCCACGTAGAGCGCGTTGCAGTAGTCCAAGCGTGAGATAACTAGAGCATGCACCACTCTGGCGAGACAGTTCGCGGGCAGGTAGGGTCTTAGCCTGTGTACCAGGTGGAGCTGGTAGACAGCTGCCCTGGACACAGAGTTAACCTGCGCCTCCATGGACAGCTGTGAGTCCAGAACTTTGCTTCAGGGTGAGAACAGAAATCGTGCTCCAGCGGCGCAGCAGCAACAGGAGGCCCCATTAGCTAAAGTGGTGCTTCAGGTTAAGAAAAGTTTCAGGTTAAGAATGGACCTCTGGAACGAATTAAGGACTTAACCCAGGTACCACTGTATTTCGACTGCGTCAGACCAACACGGCTACCTACCTGAATACAGCTCCCAGGATTCTTGGGGGGGGGGCAGGGGGACTGTTCTTTAAATGCATGGTATTCATGCAGCCCAAATACATTTCTGAACACAATTCAAAGTACTGGTGCTCACCATTAAAAACTCCCCCCCACCCCGGAACAAAACCTGGTATCTTGAAGAATGCTTGTCCTTCTACTAACCTGTATTAAGGTCATTTTGAGAGTCTCTCTGCCAGGTGTGCCTTCATCCGAGGCAAGACAGAGAGAGGGTCTTCATGACTGCAGAGCCTCATTTATGAAAAATATATAGCCTCTGGATAGCCATGTGGGGACAGGTGATGGAGTTGTTGAGGTGCAAAGGGAGGTGGGAGGAAAGAGCTTGGCAGGCAGTTAGCAGGGGCAGCAGCCCCTAGCCATTAATACGTCCATAAGTTATTTCCTAATCAGAATACCTAATTCACATTTGATGTCGAATATTCAGGTATGTACTCTGCCATAAGTGAGCAAGCACGACAAATCTGTGCAGGAGGCTAAAGAGACAGAGGCGTATTTGTGAGATCTTAGTGCCTTCAGACCTCAGGGACCAGAGCAGAGCTTTATTCCATCATCTCTCTCGCTTGTCTTCAGAAACAAAAAGGCATTGGGAACCCAAGTACACGGACAAGGCATGGATGGAGCAATCCCTCTTGGGCTGATGAGTCAAACTGGCACAGATGCTCCCCTCTCTCAGCGACAGGAAGCCAGCACTGAGTGCAACGGGAAACAACACTGTAATCAGACATTGCTGGCCAACGGAATGGACGCTGCTGGATGCTCGGAAAAAGTCTGATATAATGGGAACTGGGTGCTAATTGGAGCTGAAAGCCAATAAGAGGATAACACTGTCGTGAAGTTAAATGCCACCGTATGGCATTTTAGTTTGTTTTCAGCTTTCAGAGAGGGCCGAATCTGATACACTTACCCTATTTGCCGACATGTGTGATGAAATAAAGCGTTTGGGATATATTGTGCCTGCTAGACAGGTGTGATTGTGTGTGTGTTTGTGAACAGGAAGAGGGTAAAAGCCCCAATAAATTTAGAAGCACTGACTCCCAAGTCTTCCTCCTCATTTGCTGCCCTTTTCGCTATGCTTGGACTCCGCGATAACTTACGAGATTTGTAGGTTTACCTCTGTTGGGAGCTTTGGCTGCTTTTTGTGGTCCAGATAGATGTAAATATATGTGTTATTGCTATTTTAAAAAATCACATTGAAAGAAGTTCACTTTCCATTTATCTCAGGTAAAAGTGCTAGTCTTAGCCTAAAAAAAAGGTAAAGGTAAAAGACCCCTGACAGTTAAGTCCAGTCGCAGATGACTCTGGGGTTGCAGCGCTCATCTCGCTTTAAAGGCCAAGGGAGCCAATGTTTGTCCGCAGACAGTTTTTTCCGGGTCATGAGGCCAGCATGACTAAGCCGCTTCTGGCGCAGCAGAACACCGAAACCAGAGCAGCGCACGGAAACACCATTTACCTTCCCACTGGAGCGGTACCTGTTTATCTACTTACACTTTTGGCTGTGCTTTCGAACTGCTAGGTTAGCAGGAGCTGGGACCGAGCAACGGGAGCTCACCCCACCACGGGGATTCGAACCACCGATCTTCTGATCGGCAAGCCCAAGAGGCTCAGTGGTTTAGACCACAGTGCCAGCCCGGCAAGGAAAGCTGCCTGAGTAATGAGATCATTAGCTGAGGTTTTCTGCAGGTGCCCCCACCACACAGAGGCACAGCCTCCTCTGCTGTGGCACCCAGCTTATAGAACACACTTGGCAAACATGCTTATATAGTGCCCCTCCTGTGTAGTATAGTTGTTTAGAGAGTCAGACCAGGACTGAGGAGACACAGATCTAATTCCCCTCACAGCCACAAAGCTCCCTGGGTGACTTTGAACCAAGCACTGTCCCTCCACGTAACCTGAAGCATGTATTATCCTTGGAGGAAGGGTGGCCTGTTGGATTTTTGGTGCCAGCTGACCAGAGCTGTTGCCAGCCGCCTAGTAGAAAGCCAAACAGCCTGGGCTGCTCTAGTATATTTAACACTGATTTATTGTTCAGCTAGAAAAGCTTTTCATTGCAATGAAGACCAAACATTTTCACCTGCTAATTCCTGCAGCCCAAGACACAGTTACAGAAATCAGCTCCAGCAACCCTGGAGGGAAAGTGGTTGAAAAACAAACATGCAGAATTTCCAAATCACCAGGAAAAGAATTAACCCAGCCTTTCCCTATGCATTCTGCAGCCTTTTTATCTACAAAAATCCCTGGTATGGGTATAAATGGTATCACCATCTTCTGCAAGATGCTGCTAGAAGCACAGGTGCAGTGGTCAGCTGGGAAGTTGGCAACCTTGCACTTGGGCAAGGATCTGAAGCAGGAGTATAGGTTCGGGGGCAAAACAGCCCTTTATTTCTGCAGCAGTCGGAGCAGCCGTCAGCAACTAGTTCTGCAAAATGGCTGTGCAATTTTGGGGGGCTTCAGCCTGCAGCCTGGGCTTGTCGCTTGTTTCAAGGCTGCATATTCCCCCTTGCCCCGGAAGACAACCCCAAGCAAAATTGAGTCCCAATCCATGGGGCAGGGCAATAAAACCTATGGAGCATATTGGTCCCCATCTAGGCTTTTTGACCTCGCCTGCATGCCCAGGTTAGGTCATTTGTCTGGGGCAGAAACTAATCATTTTAGGTGCAATCTTCCAGAAGAAAAGCTTTATTGGCAGGAGAAGGTCTGTGGGCTGTGATTCTGGCCTGAACAGTTGCTGATATGCATTGACTAAAGTTTAACTTTGGGGGCAAGAAGTGGTGGATAACCATAATATATTTAATTTCTAGCCTGCTTCCTTGCAGCAGCACTAACGGTTACTCGTCAACTGCTAAAAGTTGTTGCGTTAAACATTCTCCTGCCCCATGGCACTGCCCTCGCCATTTCCCTGGGACAGAGAAAGCGAAAGGTCCTTTGGCTCAAGCGAAAGGTCTCTTGGCTCAGCCCCTACCGGTGAGGGCCAGATGCACGATCGACATCTCAAAGTCCACACGGACGACGGCATGAAAAGTCATGGCTTCCTGCTCTTGTGGAGCAGAAGAGTTGTAGGGGATCCCTCCTGCGGCACCTTGACCCCTACGAGCAAGCGAGGGCCTTGGCAAAGATGAATTTCGAAGACCTCTTGTGCGAGGCTGGGGGCTTTGGCAAATTCCAGATCCTCACTTTGCTCCTGCTCTGCCTCCCGAGGCTCTTCCTCCCTCTGCATTTCCTCCTGCACAACTTCCTGGCGGCCACCCCGGCTCATCGCTGCGCCATCCTGCATCAGGACGGCTTTGCCAACCTCACTGAGGCAGAGGTGCTGCTCATCAGCATCCCGAGGGATTCGGAAGAAGCCTTCAGCTCCTGTGAGATGTTCTCGGAGCCTCAGTTCCACCTCCTGCTCAACTCCTCCCAAGCGTCGACCAATGCCACATCTGTACAGCGCTGCCAGAATGGGTGGGTTTATAACCGGTCCCAGTTCACTTCCACCATAGCTACCCAGGTAAGCCTAGCATCTTCCCGTACGTTTGGGGACCATCTGAAAGTGCAAACAAGTGCAAAAGAATGGGCTCTTTTGGAATTGAGCAGAGAGAAATATGTACTTGGCCATAAGGCTCATTATTGCCTGGCCTCAGTCTAATCTACTTCATAGGGTTCTTGTGAGGGACAGAAGAACCATGAAGACCACCTTGAGCTCTCTGGAGAAAAATGCAATAAATAAATACATTACAGTTGTTACTCTCCCTTTCTCTGCCACTTTGAGAGTGCTCTGGGCAGTGAGCGCATGTTTCTGAGGGGATTATTTGTTTTCTATTTATCACCATGATCATTATTTATTTCCTTTATCAGTTGCTTTATACATAATAAAAGAAATCAAAGTGACTAAATCCTAACAAATAAAAGCAATTTAAAACTATGGGGAAATGTAACACCGTGATCAATACAAAATGCTCATCCAGTAAAATATCCATAAGAACAAGTCCTCCTCACTCACTAAAGCAGTGCTTCTCAGACTTACCCCCGGGTCACACTTTCAGAATAAAAATTTGGTCGCGCCACAGCAGTTTTATTTATTGATAAGAAATACATTGGAAAATGAAAGGAAACTTGCAGCAGTGCTTGTTTTGTAACATAGAACACAACTTCTTTATAATATGATTGTGGGGCATCCAAAAAGTAAAAAATAACGCAGTATGTGGCTGTTTCCCAAAATATAATACAGTCATACCTCGGGTTAAATGTGCTTCAGCTTGAGCGTTTTCAAATTACGTTCCGCGGCGAAGTAACGGAGCGCGTTACTTCTGGGTTTTGCCACTCGCGCATGCACAGACGCTCAAAATGACGTCACGTGCATGCGCGAAAGCAGCAAAACGTGACCTGCGCACGTGCAGATGCGCAGTCGTGTCTTACGTTCTACTCAGGATGCGAACGGGGCTCCGGAACGGATCCCGTTCGCATCCAGAGGTACCACTGTACTGATTGTCCTTGAATCTTCCTGCCACACTTGCAGGGCCGTCTTAAGCATATCTGGTGCCGTGGGGCAAAGATCCCTCTGGCGCCCCCTCTCTTTCCCAGAATTTAGAACTTGGGGCCTAACTCATGGACCACCTCGTAGCTCCAGGAGCCGCTGCCCACAGAAGACGCTGCCGATGTGGACGCAGTGCGTCTGGCCAGACCGCCAGAACCCTGTGTTCGCTTGTGAGGCTCTGGGGTGCCTCTTCCTCCTCCGCTGCCTGACAACGACAGCCTGCTGCCGGTGCTGCCCAGCGGCCTGAGGGCCTGAGGAGCAGGAGGCGGTTGCCACGCCACCGCCTATGCCCCTGGGAGTGGTGGTGGGGCAGTGGGAATTACCGCCATCCACATTTCTCAGCACATTAACTTGGTGCTATGTCACCCCGGAACACCTCAGCTGACCCTTGAAGCTGTTTGAGCGTTAATGTTTGATCATTAGATGACAAACTTCTATCCTGGCATCTAGAGTCAGGTAGGTAGCCGTGTTGGTCTGACGCAGTCAAAATATATTAAAATTGTCCAATAGCACCTTAGAGACCAACTAAGTTTGTTCTTGGTATAAGCTGGACAATTTTTATTTTATTTTTTTATATATTTCTATCCTGGCAGTTCATCTGCAACATAGGAAGTCCAAGGGAAAGAATAACAAAGAAAACAAAGGAACGTTCTCAATGATGTAATCCTGGTCTACTGGGCCCTTACTCGTGGAGTAAGTCCTATTGAGTTCATTAGTGCTTACTTCCAGGGAAGTGGGTGTAGCTTGGTTGTAGCCTATATTATGTAACACTTAGCTGCCATTCAAAAGCATCCCTAAAGAAAGGTGCTCACATATTTAAAATGTTCAAAATTGAATTTATATTTAAGAATGAAGTACATGCAGTTGACACCTGGGTAGTCGTAGCTCTAGCTTATTTGGTAGATATTATTTAATTGGGAAAGTCCTGATTTGAATCAGCTTGATAGATTGAACCTGCACCTTTATTGCGGTGTTCAGAATGCATTATTCAAAAGCCTCAGTGGGAAGCTATATGTGTCTGAACTCAAAATCTAAAGAGGTAAAAGAGTTTTCCCTGATTGCCACTGAATAATAATAATAATAATAATAATAATAATAATAATAATAATAATAATAAAATTCAGTAGCTTAAAACTCTTGCCAGCTTCCAACAGAATATAAAAACACATTAAAACATCAAACATTAAAAACGTCCTTATACAAGACATAGATTTAATAGGCTGTTTCCCCCACATCCCATCCCATTGGCCTGGCTTGCAGGGGCTGATGGGAGTTGTAGTTCAGCAACATCTGGAGGGCCAAAGATTCCACACACCTGGCATAGGCAATTCAATATCACTCTTCCATTACTGTACCTAATGTAGTTAGGGGAATTGATGCATTTTTGATTAATAAAGCAGATCTATTTGAAATCAACCCTGTGTTTATGTTCCAAAATCCTTGCCTTTGTATTTAAGGCACACAGGAGTCCTCCTGGGGGAAAATGGCGGCAACCCTGAGTCAAGCTGCCTATAG